CTGCAAACTAAAAGGACATTGACTGAAGTTAGCTTTGATAACTGATTTTAATTAAAAATGTAAAATGCTAAATTTATGGTTTTCTCAAATTTTTCGTTTTCTGTATTTAGGGTCGAATAAATTTATTTAAATTATAGTTTTCAGTTTCAGCATATAAATATTTTTCTTTGTAATGTAAACTGAGCTAGAAGGTACAAAATTTAATCATACGTAAATAGATAAGAATTTCAGCTATTTGGTTTCATATCCTTATGTAAATTCTGTACTATATTTCAATATCTTAAATAGTTTTTTAAAACTATTTAAAACAAATTAAAAGTTTAAATAAATAAATTTATTTAATACACTTTAGGAGAAACTCGTAATATTTTAAAAAAATTCAAATCAGTTCATGGTTGACGGTCTCTTTAACTGACACATGAATTTGTACAAAGGTTCATAAAGGTGGGCTCGTATTTGATATTGGTTTATATTTTTTTCCTAATTTCACATATTTGTTGATAGCAGTATGACATTCTACGAGATATATTGTATTACACATAAAGAAAGCCTTTAAATGTAATAAGTGCAAATTAAATCTATTGAAAGTCCAACTAATAGATCTTTTTTCAAAATCGCAGATTTTTTTCGATTGAATGTATGCTATGTGAAGCTACTGAACTTGTTTATTGACAACAGCAGGACGTAACTATATAAGTTAAGTGGAAATATAATAATGGATGTTTACGAATGCGAAGTCAGTAATGATAATATTATCGAACAAGGAATCATTTCAACAATATTTAAATATTTATATTTAAAATTTTTATACTTTTTTACAGTACAGTCTTAATTGCATATTTCTTTGAACAAACTTAACCTTCAAATATTTTTAAATGTACACTAAATGTACTCTAAATGTACACTAAATGTACTCTAAATGTACACTAAATGTATTCTTAATGTACAGTAAATGCACATTTTAGGGAATAAATAACATAAACCTTTTTATAAAAATTTTTGTAAGGTTAGATTCTCCATCTCCCAATGTAACAATATATATATTATTTCCAAAACGGTTATTTGATGATGGATATTTGGCAATACTTGAAAAAGCTGTATGGTTAGCCAAAAATTCATTTAATTAAAATAACATAAAAATAATTTTTGTTGTTGTAGCTCACTACTATTTGGAACTTCTCTATAAAAATATAATAAAAACATAATTTTTATACATAATTTCAAAAACCTTTTAGAATTTCAATATATATAAATTATTAAATTTACAACTATAAGTGTAAATTTATTCAACGCTTATAATCCAAAACAAACTCTTATAAGATTTTAACAAATTCATAAAGCAATTAAAAAAATTAGAGTAAAGCCGATTAAGCTAAAAAAACACTTAAGTAACTTATAGAAATCTTTCTTAGAAATTGTATTAATTTTTAATGCTTTGAACACATAGTGAAAGTTACTATATGTACTTATTAAATATTAACCAGCTTTCTTTAAAATCTATTAAAAATTTCTATGAAATAGAAATTTAATTAAGTGCACACATCCTTCTTAATAAAACTTAAAGTTGCACTAATTAAAAATTAAAACAAAATTGCGCATTTTAATTAATAATTCTCCATGCGGCTTTGCTGGTTCTAAGCAAACTCTCAAAACTTGCGTAATAAGTTTTATGAAAAGATGCACTAGACTTGAGCAAATGTGTGCGTTGTTTGATTACACGACGTTCAACAAGAATTTCTTAACACTTTACATACAAGATATATTTCAAATTTAATCAGTGCTTAAAACTTATCCGCAATAGCTTCTTAACTATGAGCTATGATTTTGCTTAACGCCATAAACTAAAACCGCAAGCACATCAAACAAGTGATTAAAAAGTAAAAAAAAAATAGTGAAAATTAAAAATAAAGAGATATATAAAAAATACACTGATATATTAAAAATAAAAAGATATAAAAAGATATAATAAAAACGAAAAAAGAAACTATAAAAATAAAAAGAAATTAGTAAAATAAAAATTATATGCGGAGTTGGTGCCTTAAAATTTTTATAAAAACTTTGGCATAGTTTTGTGCGCAATTATATTTGTAGCGGCGTTGCTGTGCGGAGCGTAGAAACTTACAAAATATGAATTTATTTATTTGCCAAAGGGTATAATTGCTTGCTTAGTTAAAGTCTTAAAATGCACATACATATATATATGTATTTACACGTATATATGTATATGTGTATATGTACCTATATGTATACACATATAATGTGTTTATGTACACATACTTAAAAAGATACATGACACACATTCAATTCAATTGAGTTTACTTGAGTTCATATATAAAACATATTTACTGGTAAATGCGGTGAAAGTTAAAAGTGCTATGCTCCTAAATGCACGCTACAGTTTTGTTTGAAAATTCGTAAACAAAAATTTTTGCATTCGTTTTAACTTCAGTTTTGCCTTTTTAAGTTATACACCAAAAGATGTTATATATTTTTATGATTTATTTGCTTATGCATATTAATGAATATTTATAAATATATAAATAATATATATTTAAATACACATAATGTATTTTTGTATCACTTTAGAATATTTTTTTTTATGAATTTTTTACTTTTAATTTCTAACTGCAGAAGATATAAAATAGTTTCCTTATATCTTTGAATTTATTTTTTATATGTATGTATAGGTATAACATATATTATAATCTCTCAAGAACCTATTTGAGTGAATTTATTACTTTGCAGTTATTTTAAGCATTTCTAGCTAAAACATAAAGACTTGTGATTATGTATTTAATGCAGGGTTCAGAAAAACACTGTGCTGTGCACAAAAATGCAAAACACCACGCACAAATGTTGTGCGATTCTAAAATTTCACACCACAAATGTGGTGTGCGAAAATTTTTGTGCACATCTTAAGTGCACATCTTGTGTGCACAAACGAAACGCACATTTCACACGAGTGTGGTGGAGTGAAATAAAACTCGCACACGCATTCGTTGTTTGTGCCGAAGTTATTTCGCACAGCACATTGTGTGTGCGGCAGCCAACTTGCCCTCGCACACAACGTGTGCAGAAAAGAATACGAGAAGCACATTTTGTGTGCAGGCTCGAAAATAAAAATGCACCCAAATGTGCGGAGACGAAATGTCTACTGCACGTTTGTGTGAAATGATGATTTAAAAGCGCACAATATTATGACAAATATCGCAGCAAAATAGTACGGAAAACTGATTTGTATTAATTTTGGTCTTAATGCGAAATATTTTATTGAAGAAATAATTTTGTATTTATATTTTAATTTTGAATTTATTATTAGATTTACATTTATTGCTTATATTGCTTATTTTTTTAAGGTTTATTAATTTAAAATATGGGAATAAAGTTAATTTCACAATGTACTTGAAAACTTTGTTATATTCAATAGGTACATGAATTTAATAGAGAAAGAGTATTTGTTTCGAAATGTTATAAGTAAAGAGGATCGGTTCTACGGATCGTACTTTGAAAAAATTAAATATATCAATTTTGGACTACTTCATAAAATTTTATTTAATAGTAAGTTGTACACTAAGATTCGTTAGTAAGGTTATAAAAAGCAAATTAAATATTTTTTACAACAACATAAATTAATTTTGTTATTAGATTTCACTTAATTTTTTATCTTTAATTACAGCTTAAATTTAACGAAGTTATTGAAATAATTTAATAATTTAATATCTAAATTTTTTATTATAAAATATATAATTTGTATTACATATTTTTTGAAATAAATTTTCATTTAATCTTATTAATAACATTTCTGAAATATTTTTTTCACTTAAATTATATCTCTGCTTACTTAGCACAGTAGAAAGGGCGCTAAAATCCTGCTACCTGTTCAAAAAAATATTTTCCTAATCTTTCGCGTTTTTTAATGAATGTTAGAAACTCTACCTAAGTGAATACATATTTCTGGAGAAGAAAAATATCTATTTGTGGCCCTCCCGTATTATCTTTTTTAAACTGTTGCAAAATTTATTAAACAAATACACCAATACCAATACCTGCTACCTGTTCAAAAAAAATATTTTCCTAATCTTTCATATTTTTTGGGCATAAAAAAATCTTCCTAAAATATGTTTTTATTTTTTTTAAACTGGTGCAAAACTTTCCAAACAAATACTTTAAGTTCACTTACTATATTTGCATTTAAAAATGCACAAAGTAATATACAAAAAACTAATATTTTAAGTTAAAATACAAATAAGGTTAAGACAGTTATAATTTTTAGTTAACATTAATTAACAAAAATAATTATTTTAAATATTTGTTATTTATGCAATTTTTAACATAAGTTACGATCCCAACGAACGCAAATATCAATTTTTTCAAAATTTGCAACAAAATAATATTTTCTATTTCAAACAAAATTGTGAAGTTCCTGTAATTTTTTCCACCCTTGGGTGCAAGCGCAAAATCGCACATTTGTGCACGTTTGTGCATCGCACATTTGTGCACATTTGTGCACGTTTGTGCAGTCGCACATTTGTGCACATTTGTGCAAACGTAATATGAGCAGCACACTCGTGTGCAAAGAGAATTTTTTGTCGCACAGTGCGGTGCGAGCATAAAATTTTCTCGCACATCTGATTGTGCACATTTTTAAAAATCAGTCACACAGCACAAATGTGTGTGCACGAATCTGTGTGCACAATCATCGCTTTGTGCGATGTGAAATTTAAAATCGCACAACAAATTTGAGTGCGTGCATTTTTTTTCTTAACACCACAAATGTGCGTGTGCATATTTTAAAAATAATTTCCACTCGCACAGTGCAGTGTGCGATTTTGTGCACCACATTCCGAACTCTGATTTAATGTTGATTTCAAGAGATTTCATAACACAAATACATGCCAAGTAAAGTAGTAGCCAGCCACAGTTTTTAATATATAATGCAACATTTTGCAATAGAGCAAAAATTAATAAAATGGAAAAATAAAAAGCTTAGCTTTACTTACCATAAGTTTTAATTATAACGCTCGTTTCGAGTAATTCTGTGTTCGCATAGGATGCGGTGCAGTAGTATTTTCCTTCCATTTCGACCGAGAGTGCTGAAATCATGAGTGCCAAACTTTCGCCAGGCAATGTTTCCGTATACATCGGCGGTTGATTGCGGCCAGTACTACAATTTTTGTATTTCAGTTACCAAAGTTTTTAATTTTTATTTCAATTTTTGTGTTTTTTTGTTCAGTTATCGTAGGTTTTTGGCGGTTTTTGTCGGTTTTTGTTGGTTTTTTGCACATCAACCAAGCATTTCACACAGAGGAAAATCATTAGAATTTCATTTGCAAATATAGTGCATGAATATGTTTTGTAGTATTTTGTTAGCATGAGGAAGTGAGCAAATGATATATCATGTTTGGTTTTCATGGCAGCAGGAAAGTATAAAAAAAAAGAAAAAAAATAATTATGATTATTTAGTAACGTTTTCATTAAGTTCGCTATTTATATTAATAACTATTACTATATTTATTTAAGTTAAATAAATGTTAATATATGTAATTTGTAATATGCAAGTTAAATTTATATATGCAGCGCAGGATTTATAATGAGGAGATTTTTTTTAGTAATGGCAACACTATCCAACGATTTTATGCAGTTGTGAAAACTTCTCTAATGTAAGCTGCTGATGAAGAGTGGATAAAATGGTTTTATTTTATAGTTTTAATAATTTTGATATTTATATTATTTATTACATCAAATTTATTTTTATTATGTGATTGAATACTTTTTTGATGTGGCCACATATTCGGATTGGTTTAGTGGTTTTGTAAATTTGGTTTTCATGAAATTTATTAGTATTTGCTTTAATGTTTCTATATTGTTGGTATATCTATTTAAATATTTTACTTATTTTTAGGTATTAACTTTTATAATGATTATATATTATTAAATATTTAATTGACGTTGCAATTACTGAGATTATTATTATTATTTTCAAATACAAACATATTATAGTACATTTAACCATAACATGTGTTGTACATTTAGTTATGGTTCTGTTCAGGTTCTATTCTTAAATCAATTTGGGATTTGAAGCGTAATTTGTAATTTTTTCTGGTAATAACTTGATTTAACTTACATGGTAGTACTATGTTTACACTGTAATATTAACAGTATATTAAAGTAATCATCGAGATTAAAACTCCTGATTTGAATTTACCAAAGTAAAATTAAATCTTTTAGTCAAGCTTAATAGTACGTATATACTATGTGAGTAAAAGTATATCACATCAATTAAACAGATTTAATTTCATATACTAATTATTTAAGATTAGAGATTAATAGACAAAATAGCGACAAATACTGTGTTTGCACTATGAGATTGCCAGTTTAAAACAATTATCAATATTCAAGCTGTATAATAGTTGTTAAATTGTAGATTTACCAAACTGAAACAAAGTCTGCTTTTGGGAGAAATTAACACTACATTTATACTGTAAGATTGAAGCAATCATCGACTTTATTAGCACTTAAGTTATAAAGACTGCAATTAGATTGTTTACAGAATAAATTGATTTGGATATAGAATAAATTCATTTGTATATATCAATTCTGTCAGGAATGCATTATTTCAATAAATGTCGTTAGCGTTTCTATAAATAATATCCAAAATAATCTCTAAAGTACAGTGTAATCGGTGTAACTTTAAAAATCTTTAATGGTTTTGTTAACCGTACAATGTGAACACCGCATAATAGAAGCAAAAAGTATGCAATTAAAATAAAACTATAATTTACAGTTGAGTTCTATTTGCCTCTAAAAATATGCAACACATTTTATTACATAAATGATTTGTTACTGGTGGAGGAGAACAATTCTTTAATTACAAAATTATAATAATTTGTATTACCAGAGAGTCATATGAAGCTAGTCACTTCAAATATGAAATATTTGTTGTTTTCAACGATGACTAAGAATGTGATCTTGAAAACAGGAGAGATAATTCGATTAAATTTTGGTAATGATGAGGATTTTTAACAAAAAAAATATAATTTTGTCCTCTGACAAGAAATATGCTTCGAATAGAAAAGAGCGAAACATTTAGGAATTTTTAAATAAAAAAAATATATCGACTAGACGTCTCTACTGCTTTCATATGGGTATGACTCTTAGTTAAAAAAAAATCATTTACTTTAATTATTAAATATTATATTTATTTTCTTAGTAAACTTAGTAAACATTTCTTTTAACTTTTTTTGTCAAATAGATTTGCTTTAAATATTCTAATTAACATTAATGCGAAAAAAATTATTAACTAATTATTTTTATAAATTTTATAAACTATAAATGTTTGGATATTCATGCTTTAATCGAAGTTTTATGTACTTTTAAGCATTTTTTGATTACGAAAACTTTAACATTATTTTTGGTTAATGTTTATTGCATTATGAATGATAATCAACGTTTGCTTTCATAAAGTTTAGTAATTGTTTTTATAATAAAATAGTTTGACATAGTTTTGAACATTGATAAAGCAAACAGTCTTGTCATTTTATACGTTTTTTGTTTTTGATGAACTTTTTGATGAACTAAAAAATATTATAAAATCGTATGCATGCGATTTTAACGCTGTTGACATTAGTTCAACTATAGCTGTAGGGAAAAGTTTAGAATAGTTTATGAATTTACATGAAATGGCAAAATTTTTAATTAGTTGTAATTGCATTTAATGCTGAAGGGGTGCCATGAAAATAATTTTTTATGTGTAAAAGTTAAGCGCGTTCAGTAAGTACTTAAATCAGTTTTATAAAATTTTGGATATAATAATTAACAGAAAAAACATAACAAAAAACAATAGCTATTTACATAGAAGTTATATAAAAAGTATGAAAAAATTTTATAATACAGTTGATTAACATTTATATAAATTTGAATAAGGGGAGGAATATAACATAATTTTTTAGTCAAATAATTTAATGAATGTCTTCAATGATTTGATAAAGCTGTTGTCAAATCATATTAATTATTATGTTATATATTATTATATTTTTTTTGTTAATATATTTTTAGTTATGTTTATAGAATTTATAAGTAAATGCTATTGATAATATAGTGTTTCTATAAATAAGCTTTACAAATGGCAAGCTGGTGACTTGCATTGTAGAGAGATACTTGATTGCTACAGTTTTTAATGTGTATATATCACCAATTTTTAACAATAATTTTCTACAGAAATTGTAATTAATTATATTTCTTATACCTAGAAAAAAAAGAAGAAATCTGTTTATAAAATTTTTTCCTTTTAATCTTTACAAAAACGTGAACGCTATCTTACTTATTTGTAAAATTAAACGGGAGAGACACTTTAAAATTAAATTTAAAAAAATAAAACCTTAGCACCATATTACAGCAATATTTTCTTGCTCGCATAAAAGTATGCTATAAAAACGAAATAAGCAACATAATTCCCATTTAACATAATCGTTGCATAGTTTCAGGATATTTATTCTCCTTCTCAGATATTGTTTTTTTTATTGCTATTACAAATTTTTCGCTTTTCAAACATTTAAGATATATAATATATATATATTTATTCTTACACAACAAATGTAAAATAAAAAATTGCGCCCATAAGCACTTCGAGTAACATAACAACAAAATTGCAAATAAAAACATAAAGTGCATTTGTAATCAAACACGCAATTGCACCGACAGCACAAAAATATTTGCCTTAACATGACTTTTTGTTAAGCGAAAGTTTGTTTGTTTGCAGTGCAGTACAAACTATTGCTGTGACTGCAAATAAAACGGGAGAGACACTTTGAAATTGTAAAACAAATTGAAGCTTCAATAAAACAACGTCAGTTTGGTAGTCAGATAAGTCAGAATTGTCAGTTGAAATAAATTATAAAAATCTACTAGCAAAGTTGAAAACAAAAAGAAAACAAATCACTGAAATGTTGCACAAATGTTGCTTGTGTGCACGTTTTTCTATTTGTAGGGTTGTTTATATTGCAATTGATGTACCACTGATGTTCATTGAAGTTTGCAATGGAAACCTGTGCTGTTTTCAAAATTTTTATTGAGCAATTTTAATCGAAGCTCAAAGCAAAATTGCTTTTCCATGTTATTTGAATACCTATCAGACGTAAAATGGATATTTAAGGAATTTTAATAGCGACCAATAAATGACTTCGAACGATTACATTTAGAGTGGTTTAATAGATTACTATGGTTTATTTGAAACAAATTGGCGAAAATTTAAAATTTCTAGTACTGTTGACTGACAAATTGCTAAAATCAAGCTGAAAATTACTGACTATTTATTAGTTTTGTGCTCCAAAACAGTATATAATAACATTTTCAAATAGAGAACTAATCTAGCAACCAGGTTTTTTGCGTATATAAACTTTTTCCTCTATTTCCTCTAATTCATATGTTCATTATGCAAAAAAAAATTATTTTAAGAATCTCATCTCATCTCATCTGCATTTACGAGCCACTTGGATAGAATAGGAGTATATGATGCTAAAAATTGATTAATCGTAATTAATCGATTGAAAGTGTTTTATCATTTCTATAAATATGCAAGTAATAAATAAAATGATAATCTAGTTTGTCAGTGATATATTATTAGAAAAACATATAGTGGACACAAATGTTAGCTTTCTAAGTTCTGTTGGACCACGAAATGAGATCAGTAGACACAACAACTTGTCTTTCCGGATGGCAGGTCATAGTAAGTACAACGGCAACCGTATAGCAGATAAACGTTACGTGATGGTGTAGAAATGAAAGAACTGAAGAAATTTGAGTAAAATCCCTCATTAATATAAATGGATATACACCTATTTCATTAAAAATGGCTGGATATGATTTAGGAAAAACTTGGTAATAAATCTTGTAAAAGTTCTTTTTAAAGACCATAAATTATGAAATTTACACAAGAAAAACTTCTCTGCGAAGAAAAAATGACAAGCTGTCACCTATTGTGTATATATTCAGCATAAGCAAAAAACTGGGTTAAGGCCATTGGAAAAACTTCCTCAGATCCTGACAGAAAGTTATAGAACTTAACGAGAATCGAAGGATTATCATGCTGTCTCCTATAGCCTGCATTAGCAAAAATTTGGGTTACGCTTTTTACAAAAGCTCTTTTTAAAGGTCCAAAAAAATATA